AGGAGTTGGGAGGGGACACAGCTGGGACAGCTGACCCCAACTGACCAAAGGGATATTCCATACCATATGACATCATGCTCAGCATACAAAGCTGGAGGAAGAAGGAAGAAGAGGGGGATGTTCAGAGTAACAGTGTTTGTCTTCCCCAAGTATCTGTCACGCATGATGGAGCTCTGCTTTCCTGGAGATGGCTGAACACCTGCCTGCCCATGTGAAGTGGTGAATTAATCCCTTGTTTTCCTTCGCTTGTGTGCGCGGCTTTTGCTTTACCTATTAAACTGTATTTATCTCAACACATGAGTTTTCTCACTTTTATTCTTCCGATTCTCTCCCCGATCCTGTCGGGTTGTCTCCTCCATCCCATCAGGGGAGAATGAGCAAGTGGCTGCATGGTGCTCAGTTGCCAGCTAGGGTTAAACCACAACAGAAGCATAGAAATAATAAAAAAAATTTGAAAATATTTTACTGTTAGAGTATCATTAGGTATCACCAAGAAAATAATATCTCTAAAATAAATGTACGTAAAAAATAATGGAGGCAGGAGAATGAACAAAGCTGATTATAACAAGAGTGAAGAGATAAAGGTTCTGGGGGCAGAGGGGAGGCTGAAAATCAGCAACTGAGAAACATTCAGGAAAGATCTAAAATAGTGATTTATTACTTGAGATTGTGTATTGTGCAGATAAATGCATGCATTCTAGAAGCTATAGCTAGCCATCTACTCTTTCCTTTTGTGCCCTGGGGAAAAAAACATTCAAAGAATATACAGGTCAAGCTTCCAGCTTGGAAGAACAACTGCAGGGCCCTATGGTAAGGCTGAGAACCTCCACTAGTTTTCAGGGGGCCTTCTCTGTACTGCTGTGACTGCAGGCTTCTTCCAAACCTCTTCTTTCACACTACCCATAATCCGTTTCACCTTTTTACAAAACTCCATGCCTGCCACCTCTCCCATCTACTCCTGTCAGCTTTCCACTTAGAGAAGTGGAAAGTAAATTCTCCTCTCAGCATTTACAGATTTTATTCTGCCTCCATTCTATTACTTGCATATTTTACCCATTTTTTCCCCAACTTGTTTAATCAGACTATAAGTGCTCTATGGTAGAGATTGTCTGTGGATGTCTGTGCAAAACAAAGCACAAAACTTTATTTCAGCCAAAGTACATATAACTTGACAAAGTACGATGCTTACATTGACAGGCAAATGACCAAAAAAATTGAAAACAGTAGCTACTAATATTCCACAAATTCTGAGCATTCAGGATGCTCTAATTCAGCAAATACTCCTGAGATTTGCCAACTGTTGGACTGCTTTTGATTAGCGTCATCTTTTTTTATCAGTAAATAAGAAGTTAAGCAAGCTACACATACTCAGAATCCCCCGCAGAACTAGGGGGAGAAGCTGGATCTTGCGACTCAGCCCTGTACTTCAATTACTGAATAATGCTCCCTCTTGATAAAAAAATACACCCTCTTAGCTATGAATGTGGAATTACAGAGTATTGCATTATGCCCCATAGATTAAGTCTGCTTTTCAAGTTTCCTTATTATACAATGGAGACCACAACAATTTTTAGGTGGGAATTAAGACAAGCAATCAAGTACTAAACAGTAAAGTCAATATTGACTTTGTAGCATTTTTTTTCTGTGTTGATAACAGAAAGAATTTTCTTAATTTTATGATTGAATATAGAGAAACACAGCAACTGAAAGGTACTGAACTCCAATGAAAGTCCTTTCCTTCCTGCAGCAGTCAATCCCAAGACAACCGTCAGGATCTTTATTCTCTCTGTAACAATCTCTGTCAGATTCTGAATGAAGTCCAGAAAATAAGTATATCCCCTAAAAAAACCCCCAATAATAGATGTTTACATTGCAAAGATGACACTCTCATTTCATGCCATCTCTAAGTGCCAAAAACCCAAGATAATCAACAGTAAATTACTTATTTAAAAAATGCCAATGCAAAACATTTTCTACATCTTAAAAGGAAGCTATATTTTGCAGGAAAATATTTCACAATTAAATATATATAGGTTGATTATCCTTTCCAATGTTAATGTGCACAGAAGACTCCTTGAGGAGACTGCTGGGTTTCAGGACTCTGATTATCAGTACTGCAAACAAATCAGATATTAAACTATAAAGTGTTTACAAGCAAAGGCTAATACACAAACACACTAGCTTAAGGCTTAAAATCAAAAGTAAATTCTGTTTATTAGATCAGCACAACTCCTAAGCTTCAAAGGGCTGAAGTCAAAAAGTAACCACTTAAGAGTGGAGCACGGCCTGCAAAGTTCAAGAATTACTCTGTGCAGCGGCTGTGGCAATGGCAACTTGACATAATTGGAGCATGTTTTGAAAACTCACTCTGTTCTGCTTCTTTTCCACAAATAACACCATGAAAACAGGAAAAGAGCTCACAGAGCAGTCCTTGGATTTGGTGGTGGAAATATACCACTGTCGAATGTAACCTGGGAAACTAGGCAGTTGGCTGTCAGAGAGCTGGGGGGGGGGGGGGGCACACAGGGATGCAAAGTGCAGATGACGGGGGGGGGGGGGGAGAGCTAAGGTCTGAAAAGACAACATGAACTTGCAACAAGTAAATAATCTATCTTTTTATTTAGCAACAAATGCATTACTGAATTGCTTATCTTTCAAAGAACTGCTTACATCAGTGATAGTATCTTGACTGTTGATCAAACAAGTTTCCAACCAAACCATAAAATAGTAGCAGTCAACATTTACACCAACACTAGCTTCCAGATCAGAAAAAGGATGTCTCATTGCCACATGATAAAATCCATCACACAAGCTAACTATACAAACTATAAACAGCTATTCAAACACCTCCTGTCACTGGCTTTACATAAACAACATGCTCATGCAGATCCCAAAACCATTTACTGTGTGACTATTTCAGCATCCACATAGTTCAGCTTTTCCCCAGATTATTTTGTCCATAACTACTGCAGAGCACTTAAGATGACTTTTCAGCACAACAGTGATATTTTAGAACCATATTGAGGTCTTAAAGCACCATGCAAAGCACATACAGCTCTGTATTACAAAAGATGAAATCAAGTAGATTAAAATGACAAATGAGAGTTTCCAGATGTCTCCATCTGACCCACACAAACAGCCAGCAACTTTCAAGAGGAAAGTGGGCTGGAACAGAACCACATCTTGATTTTCAAGCAATGTGAAGTTAGTTGGTTTTTAAGCAGCTGATCAACTCATGTTTTTAAGGTCAGGGCCTTTTTGTGTGGTGAGAGGAAGGAAAAAGGTGGGAAAGCAAGCAATTCAGTTAATAGCATTTTATTTAAGTAATGAGCATAGGAAGATTTCATTGTAAGCCATGAACACAAAGAAAGCACTTTGAACAAGAAGTGATGGATCAGCATCCCAAGATCCAATAAAGGACACTGACCCTAAACCATACAAAGCTCTTTGTGCTAAGGAAACCGAAAGTAGGTGTTTGCAAACAAGTGGTTTTTAAACTGCTCATACATACAAGCCTCTTGTGCTCTGCTGATAATTTCAGAGTATCTGCCTCAAATGCTAAGCTGCACATCTGTTATCACTATGATTTGGATTCACAGTAACACGTTATTCAAACAGAATGTTGCATACGACTAACTGGAATTAGTTGAGAGTCTGTTGTTCAGATACACAATGACAGAAAGACTGAGGACAGTATGGGTCCATCAGAACTAATCTTAAGAGTCCAGAAATGAAGCACAAAAATCAAATCCCATGAAAATTCCAAAAGGTCAGAAATAATAATAAAAAAATAGTATCTAAAT